TTTGACTAATTATAATTATGACTTAATGTGATCATTGTGACTTTTTTCTCATAATTATGATATAGTATGTCATTATAATTTTTCTATCTCATAATTATGAATTATTATTGAATCATTTGGACTTTTTGTAATGACTTTTGTATCTCATAATTATTACTCTATGTCATAATTGTGGCTTTTTATCTCATAATTATGATTTAGTATGTTATAATTATAACTGTTCTGACTTAGAATATCATCATTTGGAATTTTATGTCATAACGTTTGTATCTCATCATTATTACTTAGTATCTTATGACTTTTTGATATAATCATGAGATCATTTTATAATTATGAGTATGTCATAATTTTGACTTTTTATGTCAGTCACATTTGTATCTTGTAATTATGACTTGGTATCTCATAATTTTGACTTTTTATGTCAGTCACATTTGTATCTCATAATTAGGACTTGGTATCTCATAATTTTGACTTTTTATGTCAGTCACATTTGTATCTCATAATTAGGACTTGGTATCTCATAATTTTGACTTTTTGTGATAATTATGAGATAATCATAATTATGACTCAGTATGTTATAATTTTGACTTTTTATGTCAGTCACATTTGTATCTCATAATTAGGACATGGTATCTCATAATTTTGACTTTTTGTGATAATTATGAGAATCTTATAATTTTGACTCAGTTTGTCATAATTTTGACTGTCATAATGACATTTGTATCTCATAATTATGACTTAGTATCATAATTTAAACTTTTTGTCAATTGTGAGATAATCTTATAATTATGACTCAGTATGTCATCATTTTTACTTTGGATCTCATAATTATGATTTAGTATGTCATAATTAACTTTTCTGACTTAGAATATCATCATCTGGAATTTTTATTTCATAATGACTTTTGTATAATTACTTAGTATCTCATAATTTTGACTTTGTCATAATTATGAGACAATCTTATAATTATCTCAGTATTACTCAGTATGTTGTAATTTTTACTTTTTAATCTCATTATTATGACATTTAATCTAATATTTATGTTTTATTTAATTTCAGCTGTATTTCAATGACCAAAAAAATGTTTTAGGATTTTTAAGTTTAGTTTCAGTTAACAATAATACAGTTAGTTAACAATACCACACTGGTCTGATCTCTAGTGAGTCTCATATCTGGATTCATGATTTGCCAGTCAATCAGCACTCATGCTTTCTCCTCCTCTTCTCCGAGTAGATTCACAGCAGAGGACGAGGTGGATTTGGAGGGTCCTCTCACAGCGATGGGAATCAAAGACATCTTCAGTCAGATCAAAGCTGATTTCAGACACCTGAGTGAGTGACAGCTGTCAGTCATGTGCAGCATTTTCTTCATAAGTTCATTTTATGTGCATATGTTTGTGTTTGACCGAATTATATCTTTGGCTGATGACTGTGAACTTCAGCCGCATGAATCACGTCTCTCAGTGAAGTGAGAAAATGAGTCAGAGCTCTGGTCACCATCCAGAGACGCTCCCAGCTCCGCACAGCTCCAGATAATTCTCCTCAAAGCCTGTGCTTTATTACCATAATTCATGCTGTTAAGCCACAAACTTTAACCTGAATTGCAGTGAGCAGTGAATCACTGTGCCATTTCACTTTAAACTATAAAGAAACTTCAGTTCAATCAGAAATGAAATCTATCATCATTTACTCAGCCACATGTTGTTATCTATTCAGTGGAACACAAAAGGAGAATTTTTCCATACAAAGACTGTCTGTCAGGCTCCAAACAGGATCAAAAAGTATCATAAAAGCTCTTTTTGGAGCTTGACAGGCATGTGCAGTATGAAATGTCATTGCACAGGGAACGGAAGAAAGTCATTGGGGTTTGGAATGACAGCAGGATGAGTAAATGATGACAAAATGTTTCTTTTTTGGTGAACGATCACTTTTACAGGATTTAAAGCCCTTCACATTCTTAAATCTTTCATTTAAAGGCACAATATGTAAAAAAATATGTATTAAAATATCCAAAAACCACTAGAACAGTGTTATATATTTTGCTGACTTGTGTACTTACATTATCCCAAATGTTTTGA